AAGCGGTTTATAAAAATCGCTAGATAGCAATTTCTGTTGTTTAATACAGGCAAGCAATTTCCTCAAGTTGAATGAAAAACCATGTAATAGAACAGGAATGGCTTTGTACAGCCAGCAATAATAAAAGTATAGCTTCCTCTTCATAAACAGTATGGCTAAGTGTCTGACAGTTCAAGGCTGTCAAACTTCAGCTGGGGCGTCCACCGGTTAAAATGACAAATGTCAGATCAACTGTTGCTAATTAACATGAATTCAGTGAGCAACTTGATGGCGGGCCAAAATAAAACCTGTCTTGTTCAGGTGTTCTCTGCAAGCTGGTGTCAGTGCTCAGTCAAAGATCATTTTTGAGGGAAGAGCTTTACAACCATTTTTGTAGGTCCAACAGAGTGATGTGTCTTGTCTTTAGCAGATTGCGTCACATCAGTTTCAGGAGTCTCATTCTCTCAGTTAATATTTTATGTATAGCTGATCAATAATTTAAGCTTTTCAACTTAATAGTTTTGAACAAGGATCTCCAGTGTTTGGATTAAGTTGCTTGTGAATACGTTGTGGCAAATGTAGTAGTCTACAGCAATTTCATGTGTCAAACGCATAAGTGTTGAATCAGACTTTGAATTGGCAGATACTCATTGTTAAAGGACTCTGATCAGGATCATACATCGTGGTATCCCTATTAAAAACTCCTTTCTCAACGTTCAAACCAAACTAAAAGACAAATTGGGCAAAACAAGCCAGTTCATTTGAACCATGTACACAAACCAAAAGGAAACAATTATAAGGAAGTACATTTTTGTTATTGAGATTATTGTGGTTTGGCATATCTTTACCTAATATATTGGGATACTTTAACTCTGTACATTCAGCCTACACGTCTTAAATGGGCAATGCAGAATAAGATATAATGATGCAACATTCATCATATCTCTCCATGTTTGTGTTGGTGTCTTTCTTTCAGACCCTGCGCTTAATCGAGACTGTCCCCTTGACTGCAAGGTTTACGTTGGAAATCTAGGAAACAATGGAAACAAGACAGAGTTAGAAAGAGCTTTTGGGTACTATGGTCCTTTAAGAAGTGTTTGGGTTGCGAGGAATCCCCCAGGCTTTGCTTTTGTAGAGTTTGAAGACCCCAGAGATGCAGCGGATGCTGTGAGAGAACTGGATGGAAGGTAAATCTTTCAAAACATTTTTTTAGTGGTGGTTCTTTTGTGTGCCCCCCCCCCCACCCCCCTCATGTGATGACTTCTGCTTAGAACCATGTGTGGCTGTCGTGTGCGTGTCGAGTTATCCACTGGAGAAAAACGCTCTAGGAGCCGTGGCCCTCCTCCATCCTGGAATAGACGCCCTCGCGAAGATGTTAGGCGACGTAGTCCTCCAGGCAGACGCAGGTATGGATTGCCCACTTGACAATTAATTTTACCGTTTTATTTACAGTCTTATTTGCAGTGTTTAAAAGCACAAAGGAGATTTACAGACCCCACACACTAAGCATTAGTGTTTTTACTCCTTAAAAATAGTTAGTTTGGCAAAGACATTTAAATCTAACAGCCTCCCACACTGCAAAAATATCTCATCTTTAGATCTCAGACCTATTAAAGCTTTGTCAACCTTTTTAATAGTAGGAAATAAAGTTTCTGATTGGTCATCGCTATGACCTAAATTTAATTGTTGGCAGTCTTGGTGCTCACATGCACACTTAGAAAATGAATTTATCAATAGATAATCTTTGCATCTGGCTGCTTCAGGATTTGATATATTGAGGTCACTCCCTCTCCTTAAGTGTTTTAAAAATATAATCCTACATTAACTGGAGTGATATTTTTTTAAACTTTGTTTCAAGGGATTTTCATCTGTGCCAATTTTGCTTTGTCCAAAGTCATCTTATGTCAGTATGTGACTATTTATGAACTCTTATAGCGGTATGTCTGTAAAAGGTCAAAGCTCTCAAAAAGTGATATTTGCTTTTTGGGGACATCTTAAGACACAGTTAGCACTCCATTATCCATCAAACATTTTTATAGGTACTTTCTAGAATTACTTTCTGCAGGTGTAAATTTTGTTTTCTTTCTGAGTTCAGTTGCCATATTAATAAAACTGAACCCCGTTGCAGAGTCACCACCACGCTTCTCACCATCTGAGTCAGTCAACTAGTCCTCTTACAGCATCATGTGACTGCTGACCAGCGAGCCCCAATCAGCTTGGCTGGTGTTGTCACATGACCCAGGCGCACCGCCAGTCGTCAGGTTCCACCAACCTTTTGGTTCCTGAGCATGCGGTTCCCAGCATCCTCCTCTTCTTCCTCCAACCTTAACCCAATCGACAGCGGCCCACTTCACATTATCAACCAATCAGCGTCTTTACTTTTTCTATTCTCCACACAACTACTGTATCAACGGGAACAGCCCTTGGCTTACATCCCTTCCCATCCTCCCCCCCCCAAAAGGCAGGGAAAATCTACAACTACCCCTTCCAACCAGCCACCAGGCAACTTCATATCTCCAACATTTGCATCATGTGGCAAATCCTCTCTGCAATTCGACCTCCCTCACCATCAGTCTGGCTTCCTTGCGTCATTTCTATCTTGTCCAAATCCCCCAAAATAGTAAGTTTCTTTTATCCTGCTCTTTGTAGTTTTTATGCTTAATCTAGCTTTCAAAGCTGCTTGACAGTTTTCCCTCAGCATTTATGTAAGTTAGAGCAATTTCAGTGCAGAGCTGCAAAAATCTAAAGATCAAAAGTTGTGGTCAAGGAACTTTGCTGTCAGTCTGATGTTCGCAGAGCATTTGCGCTGCCAAGTGCATTTTCATGACTCGACATTAAGCCATCTTGAGGGAGATTCATTGGAATAAAATGTACTTTGTTTTTGTAGTTTTAATACTATCCTCCTTTTCCATGAACGTTTTTCTAATTTAAAAATTACATTTAAAATGTCAGTTTTATCAAGGTAATTTTGCAGCCATCTTGGAGCCAACACATGTAGGTTTCTAATGGTTTCAATGCTACAGTCAGCACCATTCAGGGGTTCACTTTCTTTTTTAACCAAAAGTGAGAACAGTCACTGTCTCAGTTTCTGATCATGTCCACTGTATGGAGCAATTTACATTTATCTTGGACTTTGTATAGGTCATTTTGCACAAGCTCTTTGCCTCCAGTGTTTGAAAACAATTTTAAAGCAGCACCGCAGTAGACAAATGACCTAAGAAAGTTCTGCCACCTCTTAATTTGTTAAGTTGTAATATGTTTTTCTAGGCAAGCCTTAATGTCGAGCCCTGATTTAGCACTATATAAAAATCTGGCTCCACGATTGGTGCTCATTGGACAAAGTTTCCTTTTAATGGGTTGATCTTGATGCAGTTCATGGATGCAGATGATCCTTCTATTAACAGACAAGGATCTACTACACATGTCTCTTTAAGGATCAAGAATACAAAAGGTTTCATTAGTGATAGGAAGGGCTAAATTCTATTTACTAATTTTCTTTTTTTTTTTTCTTTTTTTAACTTCACCTACATTACAGATCACCGAAGAGAGGAGCCTCAGCCGCAGTCGTAGCAGGTGAACTTAAAACAACTATTTTTATTTAAACTGTGCGTTTGCCAATAATGAATGACAAAATTAATTTTGTTTGTTTTGTTCACCAGGTCTGTATCAAGAGACAGACGCAGATATCGGTCTCTCTCCAGAGAAAAGACCCGAAAGCGCTCAAGATCCATCTCACAGTCAAGGAGGTAAGTTGGAAGTATTACTGATTATTATTTAAGACTTAAGTCTTATCACTAAAATATTAAAAAAATTTTCAATATCAGTCATTTTGCACTTATTCACTAGTTTGTTTATTTTACAGTCGTTCCCAGTCT